GTGGGCCCCGTTTCTGAGATCCAAGATGGCGGCGCAGTAGAGCGACTTTTACGGCTCATTTCGCCAAAAACGAGGAAATTTCCCAAACAATCGCGCGTCGGACGCCCTCCTCTCGCCCAGCCGTTGCCGTGGAGTGTACGAGTGATCCGGCCACGTTTGAGAGCCGTGCGTGAAGTGAGAGCCGCGGAAAAGGGCCGATCTAGAGTTGATGTGGTGCGGAGGATCTGTGTTTACATTGGTTTTTGAGTCGAAATCGAGTCCTTCTCGCGAGATGTGAGCGAGGGCGCCCTGGGCCTCGTCGCCGCCGACTCGCAGGATCCGCACGCCCTCACGCCCGCCAGCGCCAGCAGTGACACAAGGTAAGGCCTCGCTCGGGCGCGCGCCTCCAAAAGAAGGCGTTGCTGCTCGGGCGCTGTGACGTTTTCCCTCCGGGGCGCCAGGACCCCAGGCAGGGCTGGGGCGCCGCCACGGGCACGGCAGGGGCTAGGCCAGTGCCACGGCTGCCCCCTGGCCCTCGGGGCGTCGAGGGCGACCTCAGGCTGGGGCCGAGGAGAGGTGCTCCTCAGGCGCCCGAGGGGGGGGGGAGGGCATGCCAGGCAGGGGGGCGCATGTCAGGCAAAGGCATCTCAGGGCCAAGGGGGGTTGTTTTGGGCTGGGGGGTTGTCAGAGGAGAGGCCAGGCGTCAAGGCTCAGGTTTGGGGCCTCGGAATCCTGTCCGAATCCAGGGACGGAATCCTCGGGTAACTAATTTCCTGCAGGTTTTATTCTGTAAAGATATTGAGTTCGATTACAAAGTTCTCATTAGTTGACAGGACTGCGGGCCAGTCAAGCATCCACGGGTGTCAGAAACCCGTCCTGGAGAGCAGAGGGAGGAAATTTTGACACTAGCCTGGTGTTTGCCTTTGACAAAATTTGTTTTATGAGAGGAAGTTGGCCTTTGCACTTGCGATGGGTAGAGAGGGTGTTTGTTTGGGTTTCTGCAGTTCCCAACCGTTGGGATAGGGGCGCCAGCAAATACGGCAACACACTTTTTGTCTGATTGGTTCATGCGGAAGGGAGGGCTTGGAAGGCTTTAGATGGCGGAAAGAGTATCTTCATTGTTATATAAGCATTCATGCAAAATTATGTTTTTGGACTAGCAGATGCTCGAGAATAAATCAAAGATAGGACTTTGATGAAAGACTTGTGTTATGACAGCTGAAGAAGATTATTGTGTAAAGAATTTGCTAGCAGTGCATGCCCTTCGACGTACAGTAGTGCAAAAGGAACTCGTAGAATGTGAAAGAAGGAAAATGCAGTATTATTTGTGATGGTTTAGTTGGACATAATTATTTTCCTGTTATGAGTTTCCAAACGTGTCATAAGTGTGCACAGGAATTCAACTGTCCAGGCAGCTTCAGAGCTGTGAAGGGAACACTGTATGGAATGAAGTTGTAACAGAGTTTAGGTAATTTCTCCATGGCAAGTATTTTTGTGCAAAAAAAAAAATATATATATATATTTATATTTATATTTATATATGGATTACTGTAATCTACATATTTGTTATTGTCCTCCTTGGGAGACATTGAGAAGTGGTTTAATTGATTATGTGGGAAGCATTTAGAGAGGAAAACATGGGATCAAACGTTGCGAATAAAAGATGTTTACATTAGTGACATCACCTTATTGGAGCATATAACTTTCATCACTACTCCATTCATGCCAAAACATTGAAATTGTTGGCAAGTACTTGAGATATATCATTATCGACTTAATTTATTTCAAGCTCCTATAATAGTTACTTGGTTCGTTCAAGCATACCACACACAAGCGCAGAAACATCACTTGCTTAATACAGCTCATAGGAATATTATTCAGTAATAAGTTTTCACTAGTAACTTCTGTAACAACAATGATAAACACACTAACATGGACCTGAGATGCAAAAACAAATATGCTAGTACCTTTGTGTATCCTGACCCTTCACCGGGAATGAGGGTCTTGTGAAGATATAATTTTCCTTTGACTTGTGCATTTCAGGGGAATGGTTGCATTTTGGTCTGGTTTGCCTGAAGCAGGAGAGTTCTAGTTGCCCTTGTTCAGAGAGAGATTTCTCTGGTGCAAAGCATCAGACAGTCAGATTATTAATGATGTCGAGGAGCTTTCAGAATAAATCATATTTTGAAAGCTTTTGTTGATAACCAATCAGATTTTCAATAGTTTGTTTGGGAAGTGATGGGAGAACTGATATCGGTATTATAGCATTACTTGTCTAGGGTTCTACAAACACGTTTCAAGTATTGTTCGCTCATATGTATCAGAAAATTATTATAAAACAACCAAGGATATACCACTGACCTTCGAACCTTTGGTGGTCTGGTAAAGGCTAGCATACATCTAACTTTAAAACTGTAACAAGATAGAGCTTGTACACGTGTGTGAGATGGACAATCATTAAATGTATATCTGGTCCATAAATATACATTGATCATTATCCTTAGCTAGTGTGCCAAAGACATGGACACCACTACAAGTGCTTGACATTGCACCTTTTTGGGGGGATGGGTTGAGAACAGCCGGTACATTACAGCAAGTTTTAGTGGATTTGAATGGAACAGAGCCAGTTATTGGCATTCAGAAAATACCTATTTTTGAAAGCTATTGGCATTAGTAACATTTATCACATGTATATTATACAAAAAATATTGTTGTAAACACATGCCTACTTGTCAGTCCATTAGTGTCTATACTTATTTATTTGTGTGTGTTGGGTGGGGTTATGTATGTGTTTGTTTTTGTGTTATGTAGTGGATATGTATGTATGCATGTTTATGTATATATAAACATAAGTATGTATGTATATATGTATGTATACACATGTATATGTGGATTGTGTGTGGATGTAGATGTGTGTATGACACACGCACACACACACACACTCACTCACTCACTCACTCACTCACTCACTCACTCACACTCACTCACTCACTCACTCACTCACTCACTCACTCACTCACTCACTCACTCTCACTCTCTCACTCTCTCACTCTCTCACTCTCTCTCTCTCTCTCTCTCTCTCTCTCTCTCTCTCTCTCTCTCTCTATATATATATATATATATATATATATATATATATATATATATATATATATATGCACATAAAATATACAAGCATACATACACACACATGCACATACGTTGAAGGACATAGGCCTCTCTCTCAATTCTCAAGTCTAGCGAGGAGTTTAACACTCGACCAATGTGTTTGGAAGTGAAGGTACTACCATTTGAGCCACGACAGTAGTATGTTTGCATTTGTTTATATTAATAGTTTTTTTTTTTTTTTTTTTTTTTTTTTTCATGTTTATGTTTGTAGTTACATTTGAATATACAGTTACTTATATTTATTACTTGCTATTTACTTTTATTTTTTTATGCATTTTATTTTCATGTATTTTTATTTATGGTTATTTTCTGTTTACGTTCATGTTTATATTAATGTAAATATTGTATTTATATTTATTTGTTCGCATATATTGATATTCATTCATTTTATATTCATGTTATATTTATTTGTAGCTCATTGATATTTAAATTTATTGATAAGTATTTGTATTACTTTATTTGTGTATGTTTACTAAAGTCTTTATTTAAATATTTTTATTTATCAACCTTATATATTATATAGCATATATATTATATAGATATATATATATAATATGAATCTATGTATATATATATTTACTTACTGCATATTATATATTATATATATATATATATATATATATATATATATAATATATATACACACACACACACACACACACACACACACACACACACACACACACATACTATACACACATATGTATATATATACATATGTATATATTATATATAATATGTATATATATAATATATTATATATATACATATGTATATATATACATTATATTATATATATATATATATACATATATATATATACATATATATATAACATATGTATATATATATATATATGCATATATATATATGCATATATATATATATATATATATATATATATATATATATATATATATATATATACATAATACATATACATAATATATTATATTATATATATGTATATGTAATGTATGTATGTTATATATAGTATATAATATATATAATATATAATGTATTATATATATATAATATATATATATATATATATATATATATATATATATATATATATATATATATATGTGTGTGTGTGTGTGTGTGTGTGTGTGTGTGTGTTGTGTGTGTGTATATATATATAATATATATATATAATATATTATACATACATACATACATACATACATACATACATACATATGTTATTGTCTGTCAGACATGATAGCAGAGGTTTCTCTCTAGTTTTGTAACCCGCTTGGTGAAAGGCAGTTGCAGCTTGCAATGACAGTTCACTTCTTTGTGATATTGAAGGGTCTTTGGACGCCACAAGTAGTGGTTCTGGAGAGAAATTTTGTGGATAATTACGGGGTTGGAGTTTGTTGGCTTAGATTCACAGGGCCTTTGCAGTTTTGTGCTTAGGCTTTAGGCATTATTGATATTGTCGACTACATCCCCTTGGTTAATTTGATTTAGGTTGCAGCAGTGTTGATTTTATTTTGATGTTCCCTTGTGTTTTTGTGCTAGAAATAGAGTTTTTAGGTGGGTGGTAGGTCTTTGGTCAGGATTTCAGTTTGGGACATGTACTTAGGACAAGTTAAAGGACAATTTATATATGAAATTGAATGAGTGAGGAATTCTGCTGCTTGAATTTGGGGCAGGTGTGAAAATAGCCTGTGATGTTGGTTATGTTCTTCCTTGTTGTTGTGGGGTTAATCAGTGCTTCGGAATGTGATCATCTGGTATGACATCTTTACTCATTTATGTAGGAGTTTTGTAAGACCCCCTATGACATATTCATGGCAGGATGAAGCCTGTTATCAATGTGTGGAGTGAAATATGATGGACAATGTGCTGCGCACCCTATATTATCTAATGCAGGGTGTGTGTCTCCTGTGACACCTCCGTAGAGAGCTGCTACCCTGAAACACAAAGGATCCTCCTGGTATTCAAGGCAGGATGGAGCAAGGACAGGGCCTGTCTTCCACAGGAGAGGGAACTCGTGCTCATACAGCACTGTCCACATAATGGATTGTGCTTGTAAACAGTTCATGAATTACATGTAATAGTAAGTGCCCTCTAATGTCATATCCTGGTATTCGCTGCATGGCATTTGTATTTCATGCCATTCATGGTTGTCAGTCCTTGGTAGCTCTGCATTTCCAATATATCCTCCTTGCAGTGTTATTGCTCTTGTCAGTCTGGGTGATAC